ACCGTGAGATCGTGACCTGAGCCAAGATCGATAGTTGGATGCCAAACCGACTTAGCAACCCAGGTGTCCCCTTTTCATAAAGTTTTAATTTTAATTCCAGTATAGTCAGCGTACAGTGTTATATTAGCTTCTGGGTGTACAAAATAGTGATTCACCAATTAAGTCATCACCCCGTGCTCATCTCGACAAGGGGACTCCTAAGATCCCATTCCCCACCCCTCTCCCCTCTGGTAACCTTCAGTTTGTCTTCTATAATTAAGAGTCTGCTTTTTTCTTTCTTTCTTTTTTTTTAAATGTATTTATTTATTTATTTTATTATTATTTTTTTAATATTTTTATTTATTTCTAGGAGAGAGAGAAACAGCGTGAGCAGCGGAGGGTCAGAGAGAGAGGGAGTCACAGACTGAAGCAGGCTCCAGGCTCTGAGCTGGCAGCCAGCACAGAGCCCGACGCGGGGCTCGAACCCACAAACCGCGAGATCATGACCTAAGCGAAAGTCGGACGCTCAACCGACTAAGCCACCCAGGCGCCCCTAAATGTATTTATTTTTGAGAGAGAGAGAGAGAGAGAGAGAGAGGAAACATGGGCGGGGGAAGGGCAGAGAGATGGGGACCGAGGATCTGAAGCAGGCTCTGTGCTGACAGCAGAGAGCCCAATGTGAGCCTCGATCTTACACACCGTGAGATTGTGACCTGAGCTGAAGTCAGACACTTAACGGCTTAATTGACTGAGCCTCCTTTTTTTTTTTTTTTTTAAATGTTTATCTATTTATTTTGAAAGAGTGCGAGCTTGTGAGCATAGGGGCAAGTTGGGAGAGAGAGAAAATCCCAAGCAGCCTCCTGTGGGGACTAGATCTCATGAACCCTGAGATCACGACCTGAGCTGAAATCAAGAGTCGGACACCCAACTGAGTCACCCAGGCGCCCCACGAGTCTGTTTCGTGACTTGTCTTTCTCTTTTCTTCCCTTTGCTTGTTTGTTTTGTTTCTTAAATTCCACATATGCTTGAAATCATACGGTATGTGTCTTTCTCTGACTTATTTCACTTCGCTTCACTTATACTCTCTGGCTCCATCCACGTTGTTGCAAAACTCAGGGTTTCTGACTCGGCGTCTGTGACTCCCTGGAGTCCTCAGGCATATTTTCAAGATTCACGAGTTCTTTACAGGAATTCTTAAATTTGGGGGTCATGGCGGTAATGACTTAAGCACTCCATCCTGGCCCATCTGGATGACTGCGTGTGAGTGCAAGTTGCTGTGTGGCTTCACGCTCACAGTGTGTGTGTGTGTGTGTGTGTGTGTGTGTGTGACCGCAGTGGCGTATCACATGTCTCAGCTGATGGGAACAGAACAGAGGCTGACTAAAGAGGGGCAGACATATCCAGACAGCGGTCCCGACAAAGAACAGCATCAAGACAATCTGTGGAAATGGCTTTGAAACCGCTGAGCAGCCGGTGGGTTAGTTTGAACAAAAGAACATCATCTTGGGGCGCCTGGGTGGCTCAGCCGTTTGGGTGGCCGACTTCGGCTCAGGTCATGATCTCACCATTCGTGGGTTCGAGCCCCGTGTCGGGCTCTGTGCTGACAGTTAGCTCAGAACCTGGAGCCTGTTTCAGATTCTGTGACTCCCTCTCTCTCTGACCCTCCCCTGCTCATGCCGTCTCTCTCTCTCTCCCTCAGAAATAAATAAAACATTTAAAAAATTAAAAAAAAAAAAAAAAGAACATCATCTTGTATGTTACTTTAGTGCCGTTGGACATTTACTGGTCCTGTATCCGGTGAGTGTTTGATTTATATAATTCATTTCGGCTCCCAGTTCTGTAAGAACTGCGGATGTAGCTTTTGTGTGCGTCCATTAAAAAGTAACTTGTTCAACAAGTGGCGTTGGGAACCCTGGAGCTCCACATGCAAATGAAGTTTGGCCCTTCCCTCACACCATACACCACCTTAACTCCAAATGGATCCAAGACCTAAATGGACAAGCTGAAGCTATGTAATCATAGGGGGAGCATTTTCCCATCATGGGATTTGGCAATGATTTCTTGGATGCGACACTAAAAAGCACAGACAACGAAAGAAAAATTAGATTGGATCTTCATCACAATGAAATGCTTTTAGGGGCGCCTGGGTGGCTCAGTCGGTTAAGCGTCTGACTTCGGCTCAGGTCATGATCTCACGGTCTGTGGGTTCAAGCCCTGCATCGGGCTCTGTGCTGACGGCATGGAGCCTGGAGCCTGCTTCGGATTCTGTGTCTCCCTCTCACTCTGCCCCTGCCTCGCTCACACTGTCTCTCTCTTTCTCTCAAAAAATAAATATATATGTATATAAAAAATTAAACACTTTTGTGGTCAAAGGACACTCTCCACAGGGTGAAAAGGGAACTCATTGGATGGGAGAAAACATATGCAAACCATACATCTGATAAGGGGTTAATATCCAGACTATATAAACAATCCCTACAACTCAGCAACAAAAAACCAAACAATTCAATTTAAAAAAATGGGCAAGGGACTCAGCCAGACATTTCTCTGAAGTAGATAAACAAGCAGCTACGAAGCACATGGAAAGATGCTCGCTATCACTGATTATTAGGAAACTGCAAATCAAAACCACAATTAAAGAAGGTGTCTGGGTGGCTTAGTCAGTTAAACCTCTGACTTCAGCTCAGATCATGATCTCACAGTTAGTGGGTTCGAGACCCACATCGGGCTCTATGCTGACAGCTCAGAGCCTGGAGCCTGTTTCCAATTCTGTGTCTCCCTTTCTCTGTGTACCTCCCCCACTCACATTCTCTCTCTTTCTCTCAAATAAATAAATAAATAAATAACACAGGAAAAAACACAATTAGATATGACTTCACACCCATTAGGATGGCTATTATTAAAAAAAAAAAGAAGGGCGCCTGGGTGGCTCAGTCCGTTAAGCATCTGACTTCAGCTCAGGTCATGATCTCGCAGTTTTGAGTTTGAGTCCCGCGTCGGGCTCTGTGCTGACAACTCAGAGCCTGGAGCTTGTTTCCGATGCTGTGTCTCCCTCTCTCTCTGCCCCTCCCCCACTCATGTTCTGTGTCTCTTTCTCTCAAAAATAAATAATGAAAATACTAAAAAAAAAATTAATGTGCATGGTGTTTCAATTTGGGAGGATGACAGAGGTCTGGAGATGGGCAGTGGTGATGTGTGGACATACTTGATGCCATGGAACTAACTGTGTACTTCAAAATAGCCAAAATGGTAAATTTTATGTTACATATATTTTCCCACAATAACATTTAAAAAAAAAATTAAATGAACCCTAAGAGGGAACTCATCAAGGCCTCTAAAACTCTGGTTCCGGGGGCGCCTGGGTGGCTTAGTCGGTTAAGCGTCCGACTTTCGCTTAGGTCATGATCTCGCGGTTCGTGGGTTCGAGCCCCGCGTCGGGGTCTATGCTGACTGCCAGCTCAGAGCCTGGAGCCTATTTCGGAGTCTGTGTCTCCCTCTTTCTCTGACCCTCCCCTGCTCGCGCTGTCTCTCTGTCTCCTAGAAATAAAAAAAAAAAAAAGTTAAAAAAAAAATAAAACTCTGGTTCCGGTCTTAGCCAACGGCTCCTGACCCAGGCTGCTGCGTGACCCCAGCCGCCCCCTCCGGGCTCTGTGCCCACAGAGCTGTCGTCCCACACGTCACTTCTCTTGAGGGGGGGATGCGAACCCCACTGCACCTTCCTGAAGGGCACGGGGTGAGGGAACATTTGGGGTGCTTCTCTGCCCCTCCCCAGCTCAAAATCGGCACCAGAAGCTACTGTTCATGGAAGACCCAGCGTACACCTGCTTGCACCCTTGCCGACAAGCTTGCGACCTGGCAATTTACGAACCTCTCTGAGCCTCAGTTCTCTCTCCCGCAAAATGGACACCTTAACACCGATCCTGCAGAACGGTTGTGATCGAGGCGGGCATCCAGCCTTCCATCGCTTCTTTCCTTGATTCCGCCTCGTTGCCTAGTGTGTCAGTTTACCTCTGGTTTGCACCTTCGACTCTGCTGTGGGCTTGGCAGCCGTGTCACCAGGCTCATCAGGCTGTAGGATAAGCAATTTAATTAGGCTCTGAGGAGGTTGGGAGTCTGTCCTAGGGGTCAAGTTCTCAAGCCTCAGAATGTGGACCTGTGACGTCTTTTTGGTCCCCGGAGACATTCTTCTGTAGCTATGTGAGAGGTCTCTGTGCTCCGGACTGGGAGGTTGCCAGGCGGCTGTGGAGTGATCGGTGACATTGGTTCTGGGAGGAACGGGGCCACCGGGCTCTGGGCTGCTCGGACTCCAGCGCGTTGAGCCCTGGGAGGAGTCGTGATGAACCAGGAAGGATTCTTAGCAGGAGACCCAGGATTCAGAGGTCTCAGAAAACAGCATCGCACAAGGTACTGACGCGGTATGACTGTATCGTTCAGCTTCCGCTGGGCTGTGCCGAATAACCACCACCAAAACTCGGTGGTTGTCATAACAAAGGTCTGTCCTCGATAATGGTGCACGTTGCCTGTGACGCTCGGCTCCACACCCTCTTCATTCCAGGATTTCGGGCGGAAGGATCAGCGAGGGAAGTGGTGTGTTTGAGGCCGGGGAGAAAAGCGTGGTGGTAGAATCCTGAGATGGCTCTAATGGTCTGCTTAGAGGTGACACGTCATCGCTTCTGTTCACGCACCATTGGCCAAAGCAAGTCATGTGACCGAGTCCATCACTAGTGAGGGTGAGGGTGGGGAGACACAGTTGTATGAATTATCTACTACTGCGTAATAAATTACTCACAACCGTAGTGGCTCAATGCAACAATTAACATTTATTAGCTCACATAGGTTCTGCGGGTCGAGAATTCGGGAGTGACTTGGCTGAAGAGAGATTTCTCATTTGTTGCAGCTAAGAGGTTGGTGGGGCTGCGGTCATCTACGTGCTTGACTGGCTGGAGGCTCTTCTTCCAAGATGGGTGACTAATGTAGCTGGTGTACTGGGGCTGGCTTTTGGTGGGAGGCCTCCACTCCTCACCGTGTGGACTTCCCCAGAGGGCCCCTTGCATGTCCTTACGTGGTGGCTGGATTCCTTCGGAGCGAGCAATCCAAGAGAGAGCAAGGTGGAAGCCGCCATGTCTTCAATGACCTAGTCTCAGAAGTCAGCCACCATCGCTTCTACAATAGCCTATTGGTTACACAGGACTCCCTCTTTGGTGGGGCAGGAAGTGTGATCCCCAGGGGAGGGGATCATATGGGGCCATCTACGGTAACCTGTCCTCTGGTCCCCAGTCAGTCATATCCCTCTGACGTGTGAATATTCTTACCTCCTCCCGAAGTCTCATATTACGGCTCATAATTTAAAACTTCAGCATCCAAATCAGGAACAGATGAGATTCTTGGGTGAGATTCTTCAAGCGTTGCTCTTTGAGTCCCCCTTGGCCGGCAGACACATGGACTGAAGAAATAGTAATGTGTCCCCTACCCAGCCACCCAGACAACATGCAATAGTGTGAGAGGTGTAACCATTGGAGACACTTCCCATTCAAAAAAGGAGGCATATGGGAGTCACCGGCCAATAGCGACGGTAACATATATCAGAACTTTCCGTGTTGAGAGTTCTTTCATTGGAACTCAACGGCTAGGAATAATTCTCCGTGGCTCTTGGCTCTGCCCTATGGGATCTTGGATTTGCCTTCAGACTTATCTTTCCTTTTCCATGAAAGGCAGCTAATGTTAGCCATTGATTGATTTTCTCAGGCTTCTTCCTGCCTGTAGGAGTTTGGAAGTCAGGGATGCCTGGGTGGCTCAACTGGTTAAGCGTCCAACTCTTGGTTTTAGCTCGGGTCATGATCTCATGGGGTTCACGGGGTAGAGCCCTGTGCCAGACTTTGTGCTGACAGTGCAGAGCCTGCTTGGGATCTCTCTCTCTTCTCTCTCTGCCCCTCTCCTGCTAGTTCCTGAGCACATGCTCTCTCCCTCCTTCTCTCTCTCTCCCTCCCCCCATCCTCAGAATAAATAAACATTAAAAAGTTTGGAAGTCCAAAGACATCCTTTAATTTTGAACTCTCTCTGTCTCTATCCATTCAAAGGGGCAGTGTTTCTGCTAAGACAGTTCTCCTGAAACCTTTTTGGATGTCCTATGGATCTTACTGGGGTTTGCTCCATCAGATAAATCCCTTTGAGAGAAACACTTCACTTTGGGACCCCGCTGAGGCTACTAAGGAGTGACCCCATGAAACTTATTTTGAAGCCTTATTAAGTGAATGGTCTTCCGATTACATTTTCTGATGCTCAGTAACAGATTTTACAGTCCTACCTACCCTCAGCTTCATCTTTAGATCACATTTTCCTGATATATCTCTGGATTGGCTCTTTTCCCAGAAACAATTTCTTCATTTCGCCATTACTTGGCCATCTGAGAGAAGCCGGGGATTTTCAAAACCAGAAAGTCTTGTTCCTTTATGTTTAACAGTTACTCCTTCTGGCATATTTCTCTCCTGTCTCATTTTACTAAAACAGGCACGAAGAAATGAGGGAGAACCTTCAAAACTCTGCTTGGAAATCTTGGCTCGATCACCTAGTGCATTAAATATATTTTCGACTTCCCACATTACCACAGGTGACAGTGCCGCTAAAATTTTTGACATCACATGACAAGAATTCTTTCCTCCAGTTTCTAAGCACCTTCTTTTTCTTTATTTTTTTAAGGGGGGGGAGGGGCAGAGGGAGAGAAAGAAAGAGAATCCCAAGCAGGCACCACGCTCAGGGTGGAGCCCCACAGAGGGCTGGGATCGTGACCCTGGGATCATGACCTGAGCCAAGATCAAGAGCCAGACACTCAACCGACTGCGCCACCCAGGCGTCCTTTCCACCTTTTTCTCACCTTCCTTTAAGTACTTACCTGCAGCCTCCAAGTGCATCAGGCTTCAACTAACTACTGACGCTCCTCACTAGGTCTCAGAACGAGGGGTCGTGACTCCTTTGTGCCCCAATGTCCCCACGTTGCTCCATGTGAGCCCATTTCCTACTCAGGGCATTTGAGTTTGTTTTTCTCTCTGTCTCCACTGCTCTCCTTCCAGATACCCGCATGGCTCATTCTCTCTTGCTTAATTCAGATTGCCACTAAAGGGTCCCCCCATTAAAGAGGCTGTCTGTTCTGCTCTACCTAGGATAGGACCCCCATTCTTTCTTTAGACCTTTACGTTTCTTCACAGCGCCTTCTCACCACCCTGGTGTTTATCTTATATGTCTACTCGTTTATTGTCTATCACCCTCATTAGTGGCAAGTTCAAGTGGACAAGTGACCTTGTCTGTTTAAAAAAATTTTTTAAAAATTTTTAACACTTATTTATTATTGAGAGACAGAGAGAGGCCGAGCATGAGCATGAGAGGGGGCAGAGAGAGGAGGAGACACAGAATGCAAAGCAGGCTCCAGGGTCTGAGCTTGTCAGCACAGAGCCCGACCTGGGGGCTCGAACTCACGAACTGAGAGATCATTACCTGAGCCGAAGTCGGATGCTTAACCAACTGAGCCACCCAGGTGCCCCCATCCCCAATTTTTTTTTATTGTTTATTTATTTTTGAGAGAGAAAGAGAGATTGGACCTTGTCTGTTTTATTCACTGTTAAAACCCCAGTGCCTGGCAGTATTTGCTGAATGAATGAATGAAGTGTCCTCTGCAGAGGCACCTGGCATGTAGGTAGACGAGGTTCATAAGAGGATCCGAACCAGGTATTTTAAGGCCGGTCCAAGGATGAGGGTCTCTGGAAAGAGCAGGCTATAGGGAGACATGGTAGGTTCTGGAAAAAGGTTGTCAATGATAGGTCTCAAACTCAAAACAGGGCCTGCTCTGCTGAATCTGAGGCCTTCAGTTTTCCCAGAAGAAGTGAGAGCTGGCTCGGGTCAGGGGATCTGAGCCTCTTTCCTGAGATGGGGGGGGGCAAGAGGGAATTTCCTTTTTCAGTCTATCACACTGGTGCCCCTCTGGTCCGCGACTCAGCCTAGAAAGGGTTTTTCTGGGGCAGCAGTTTGCCAGAAGTTTAGGATGGACCCCAATCACCAGACTAGGGCTGGGCGAGACCTAGACCATGGCGACAACAGGCTTCTGTGTGGAAAGATGGAAGAGGAAAATCAAGGCGGCCGAAGTGTCGCCTACAAGAGCAAGTAGTCGAAGGCAGGAGGCCTCGGAGAGGACAGACCCACTCAGAGACTCAACTCTGCAAAACGTTGTCCTGAGCTGATGAAAAGCTATTTATCGTTTGTATTTGTTGCACTTGGCGCGAATATTCAGATGCCTCACTGTGGAAGTGTTCACATTTGAGCCTAGGCCTAGTGGGGATGTTACCTGATGCCCCGTAGTAGGCGTCGGATCACCTTTCTCAAGTTTGAGGAAGTCTCATTTCTGCACTAGCTCTGGCTTCAGGGCTTCTGGGGAAAGGTCTGCGGATCGATAAAAGTGCTTACTTCCCAGGGTGACTATAGGAACACAGGAGGAAATTGGTGTCATGTTTTCCAAGATCAGGCATGGGGTGGGGGTTGGAGGGGACACCGTACAGGGAGGTGGCCAGCCTGAGCAGCAACAGAGGAGACATGATCAGTCTCAGGGAGAGTCTGTGAGGGGACTGGATCCAGAAGCCGGTTCTAGCTCCATGAACGGGCGTTCTCCTCCGGAAGCTAAGGAGAAAGGATCCACTGTGCTCTTAGAATCGTCAACCACCCCCCACCTGCAGCTCGGTCAATGCTGCTCCATCTCTGCCTTGGAGGGGCTTGGGTAGCTTGAGGCTGCCTCTCACAGCGTGGGGACCCCGCCGAAGGGTGTTGTCGTCCGAAAGAGAAGCTAATTAGTATAGATATACGTTTTCATTTCTCTTTATATCTAGTAGTGGAATTGTTGGATTTTATGGTAACTCTACGCTTAACCTTTTGAGGAACTGCCAGACGATTTCTCGAAGCAGCTGTACCATTTTATGTTTTTCACCAGTGAGGCACAAAGGTTCTAATCTCTCCACATCTTCATCACCACGTGGAGCTGTCTGTCTTTTTGAACATCCCCATCCCAGTGGGTGGGAAGTGGCATCCTGTGGGGATTTTATTCGCATGTCCCTAGTGGCTAATGATGTTGAGTGTCTTTTTCATATGGTTATTGGCCAGTTGTGTATCTTCTTTGGAGAAATGTACACTGAGACCCTTTGCCCATCTTTCAGTTGGGTTCTTGTCTTTTTATTATAAGTTGACGTTTCTACATTCTGGGTACCAGCCCTTTAACAGATATACGATCTGCAAGCATTTTCAAGCATTATGTGGATTGACTTTTTACTTGGCGCCCTTTGAAGCACAAAAGCTTTTAATTTAATGAGGTCTCGTGTATCTATTTTTTTTTCTTTTACTGCTTGCACTTTTGTGTCGTATCTAAGAAATCATCGCCTAATCCAAGATCATGCAGATTTATGCCTGTGTTTTCTTCTAAGAGTTTAGTAACTAGCTCTTATGTTTAGGTCTTCGATCTTCTTTGAGTAAAATTTTGTATATGGTGTGAGGTAGGGGTCCAATGTGATTCTTTTGCATGTGGACATTCAGTTGTCCCAGCATCCTTTGTTGAAAAGGCTATTCCACACACCCCCCAACTGCCCGAATCGTATTGGCACCCTTGTTGAAAATCACTTGACCATAATGGTGGGGATTTATTTCTGGACTCACTTCTATTCCATGGCTCTATATGTCTATCCTTATGCCAACATCCCAGTGTCTTGATTACTGTTCACTTTGTAGCAAATTTTGAAACTGGGAGGGGCAGATTCAGCTTTTCTCTTCTCTTTAAAGGTTGTTTTGGCTATTCTGGGTCTCTTGATTTTCCACAGGAATTTTAGAATCAGGTTATCAATTTTTTTTTTTTTTGCAAATATGCCAGCTGGGATTTTGATAGAGATAGTAATTGAATCTATGGATCTGTTTGCGGAGTACTACCATCTTCACAACGTTGAGTCTCCTGTTTCAGAATCATGGATGTCTTTCCATTTATTTAACTCTTCTTGTAATCTCTTTCAACAATATTTTGTAGTTTTCCAAGCATATGTTTTGCACTTCCGTTGCTAAATTTACGATGAAATATTTTATTCTATTAGATGCTATTGTAAAGGGAATTGTTTTTATTTATTTATTTTTTTATTAAAAAAATTTAGTGTTTTATTTATTTCTGAGAGAGAGAGAGAGACAGCATGAGCAGGGGAGGGTCCGAGAGAGAGGGAGACACATAATCCAAAGCAGGCTCCAGGCTCTGAGCTAGCCATCAGCATAGAGCTCGATGCGGGGCTCGAACCCATGAGCCATGAGATTGTGACCTGAGCCGAAGTTGGATGCTTAACCGACTGAGCCACCCAGGCGTCCCGTTTTTAAATTCCTTTTTGGAGGTTATTCATTGCAAATGTATAGAAATACTATTGATTTTTATATATGATCATGCATCCTGGAACCTTGCTGAAGTCATTATTTCATTTTCTTGCCTAATCACGTTGGTTAGAACTCCAGTGCAT